TTGGGAAAGTCACTTCTTGGTGTATTTTGGTGGAGGCTACTGAAATGGTTGAGAAGAATATTAACCAAGGGATCACTGAGTGAGCTTTCACCCCATCATCTTTAGGTAACTTACTGCCACTTAGCTTGTTTTTTTTAGTTTTGCCTATGTTTTTATGGATTTTATTTGTATATTTGTATATTTTTAGGTTTTAAATTGTATTGAAATGTTTTGAATGTAAGCCGCGTTGAGTCTCCTTGTGGAGAGAAACAGTAGGGTACAAACAATAACAATAATAATAATAATACTTAACCTCAAAGGATGGCTCCATATGTATTCACATGAATCTCTAAAGCAACCAATCCTATAGAATGAGGCCATTTCCTGGATGCAATACCACTTCAATGTCCTCAGAACTGGTACCGTGTTATGGAAAACTACCCTCAAATAGCAGAGCATCCAAAATCAAACAGGATACTTAAAGTTCAGCATCAGTTCATTAGTGAGCAAAGAATGAAGCACCATGTGATGTGGCTGTAAACAATTAAGAGCTTAGGCAGACAAAGATGAGTTGTCTTAAAAAATCACAAATAGTTTATTGACAACTAGCCGTCTCCTGCCATGCATTGCTGTGGCCCAGACTGTGTATATGTGTTTTGTGTGTATATATATGTGTATGGGTGTGTATATATATTTGTGTATATGTGTATATATGTGTGTTTGTGTATATATGTGTGTGTGGTTTTGTGCATGCATTGTAATGTATTTTTTATTTTTTTGCTTTTTAAGTATCTTCTGCTTTGCTTTTCAGTGTTTTATGAGTGATAGTCACTCGTTGGCCTGATAGGTGTATTGTGTCCAAATCTGGTGTCAATTTGTCCAGTGGTTTTGGGGTTATGTTAATCCCACAAACTAAAATTTCGTTTTTATTTATATAGATAATACAAATAAGAACTACATTTCTCAATAGTAAATAACCGGGTCTGAGCTAATCTAACACCCATAATTTCTAAGGTTACAGAGAGGGGAAAAACACCAATCACTACATCTCTCCTGACACACAAGCACACAGCACATACTCCGCTGTAAGAAAGAGAAGTCAGATTCAAAAAAAGACTTGCAATAGAAAAGTCTCTATTCTGCACAACCAATCTGAACTAGAGTAGAAACAGAGGGGGGGGGGGAGAGAACGAGAACAAAATAGATAATAAATAATAAGAAACTTTATTTATATTCCACCACCATCTCCCCAGTGGGGACGCGGAGTGGCTTACATGGCGCCAAGCCCGGACAACATATTACAGCAAAATAGAAGCAAAGCATAAACAACAAACATCATCGAAATTACATAGAAAAAAGTATAGCATAGTCATAAATTAGATACATTCCAACAGGAGACATGGGGGCAGGGAAACCCTTAGTCTATACCAGTGGTTCTCAAACTGGGGTCCCCAGATGTTTTGGCCTTCAACTCCCAGAAATCCTAACAGCTGGTAAACTGGATGGGATTTCTGGGAGTTGTAGGCCAAAACTCCTGGGGACCCACAGGTTGAGAACCACTAGTCTATACTAAACTAACTTATTGCTCCTTGTTGAGAACTTGAGATTTGGGCAGTGTGAGGTTGAATTCTAACATATCTATGGTTTCATTTATCCACTTCCAACAAAACTTAGCCTCTTAAGTCATTTCCTAGGACTTCATACACAACTCTCTGACATTCCTGAGTTGGAAGATTTTCATTTCAATAAAATAAAAAATTGAAGATTTTTCATTTCAAACTATTATTCATAGTTTTCTGTATCCAGGTAAAGTCTGGGAATATGCTCCCCAAGCAAAACAGGGACTTTCCTATATAGTAATGATAGGGAGAAAGATGTATACTGTAACAAGTTATTATTAGAGGAATTCACCCTCTATTTCTTCAAATTAGCTAGAATAGAGAATTCTATTAAGGGATTTTCAACCTGTAGGTGGCCAGGTGTCTTGGTCTACAACTCCCAGAAATCCCAGCCAGTTTACCCGCTGTTATGATTTTTGGGAGTTGAAGGCCAAAACATCTGGGGACCCACAGGTTGAGAACCACTGTGTTAGGTGATAAGGGAACTGGGCAGATATACTACACAAACCTGTTCCTAAAATAAATGTATATCTTCCATTAATTATAGAAAATGCTTGTATTTCTGAACCATCAAATAATTTGAATTGTTTAATTTGTCTTATTTTTGGATTAGCGTTTGCAGTTTTATGTCCTGTCCGCATCCACAATCAAAAAGATGTCACTATAATTACATTAAAAGATGTGCTTATTCTTGCAACTTCCCCAATATAGCTGAACAAAGAAGAAAAAAGGAAAGCACAGAATGGCACAAAGCAATCTTATGCAATCAGTAATTAAAAAGGAAAAAAACAAAACACTTCAGTCATCCTTTCATGCTCTTAAACTTTATTGTTTTCTGCCACTTTCCCACATTTAGACCTGCCTTAATTTCTGAGACAAGGCATTGGACATCATAAGCAAAGTGATTTCCCAGAAAGAGGCCAGCCAGAACAAATGCACAGGTTCATTCATACTGCACAATACAATCGAGTGCAACATTGAGGGCAGAAGAGAAGCAAAGGGGAATCTCATGGATGGCTGAGGAACTTGGCACCACACCAAACTCTTCTTTGGTTTTTGCAGGGGGGGCAGGGGGAGGGATATGAAACAAACAAAAAGGGAAAGAAAACGGGGAGAGTGGACACACATAAGAGTCAAGTTACAGAAGGTAACGATCACCGTGGAGGGTACATGTGCGAGGACAAGGAGATATTCTGGTGCACACACTTAACGGTTTTTATTATCACATAAAAACAAGGCTAGGCATTTTCCTACCCTGGGAGGCACAGCTAACTTTTATAGTTTACTCCAACTGAAGCGTAGTTATAAGGGTGAGTAAAGAAGACATCCTAATTCAAGTCATATAAAGAAAAGGGTGGAGAACAAGCTGGGGAGGCCCTATTAGACCCCACTAGCACCAGCTCTCTTTAGCAGCAGGCCAAAAGCCTTCCATTTAGGCATGACTTTAATTTTTAATCCAATGGCAGACGTGTGTCGATGATTTATTTTATCCTATGTTTTGCTACATACTATAACTACGGAGCAGGGTCATGAAAACCCATTGAGTAACCTTGTGCAGGTCACACTCTCTCAGCCCCAGAGGAAGGGGAAAGCAAACCCACTCTGGATAAATCTTCCCAGAAAACCACCATTTCTCAAAAAATGAATTGAAGGCACACAAGCAACGATAACAACTTTTAAAACACAGTTCTTGTTGAATTGTTCTTGTTGTCCATTTGAAGATGCATATAATTTCTGTTCAATGGTTTAAGCAAAACTTCTATTTAAAATTATTGCAAGTCATTTTGAGTTCCATGCATAAGGTGAAGCGAGAGGGGGTGCAAAGGAACATGGCCTTCCATTTCAATCATCTTTCACCATTGTCTATCGTGGGAACATAGGTGAAATACATAAATAACAAAGGACCGTGCATTTCCCATCCCCTAGTACAGTGGTTCCCTACCATATTTTGACCAGGGACCACTTGACGAGGGACTGCTATGACTAAGGGACTACTCTCCAACATTAGTTCCAAAAGGGTTACCAATCACATTTTTGTGCAACTTTAGATTTGGTTTGGTTATTTGGGGTGCTAATTCAGAAAAATGTGTTAGATAGACCACATCAGCTCTAGTTTCTGATACAGAACATATGCCATCCAGTACTTACTATCTGCTCGCCCACAGAAAATCATATTTAATAAGCCTCGGCACTGCGAGACCAGTCACTCTCGTTGCATCGATGTGGTAAGGGTGAGGATGCGGACCGTATTTTAGTTCTTGTGGATCACTGGTGGTCCACGGACCACACGTTGAAAACCACTGCCCTAGTATAAAGTCTATATGGAACACACCCACAAGCACACAATTATACAGAGGAAATGCTGCAAACTGAGTACAAAACCACAATAACAAATACATGACTATTCCTGAGAGCAATTTGCAACACTCTTCAGATGAAGAGTAGGCAATTGCACATGGACCAGGAGCCAGTCTTGATCTCATGCAAACTGTACTATCCCTACAAAAAAAATCTTCCTTTCCCTTTGTTACTTTTTCCAAATGGGATGCAGAAGCAAAGTTGGTGTATCACTTTATATCACCATTCTGAAGGAAAAGCAGAGCAGGAAGGAGATGTCTAAGAGATGAAGGCATTCTAAGACGGACTGGATTGCATGTTTGAGCATATTGGGAGACTTTGGGGACAATTTTGGGGTGATTTCCCACCCACCCCCTCTCCAAAATCATACATTTTTTAATTGGAGGCACAGGTAGAGTTTAGAATCAGAGACAAAAATTGAGTGACTAATTGAGCTACAGCAGCCACGGGCAAGCTCTTCAGAAAGGGGGCTACAGCCCGGGCCTGGGCAGGCTGGGGAGGGAGCACGCAAGAGTTTGGAGGGGGGCTCGGGAGCCGGTTGGCATGGGGGGATGAGAGCGGTTTTAGGGGAGCAGGGCACGGTTGGCACGGGTGGAGGGGAGGGCCAGAGGGGTAGTTGCCGTAGCAATGTATCCCTTGGGGTGTTCCTCTTTGCAAGAGGACACGATGGCCCACCATGTCCTTCCATGAAAAGGAGGGCTTGACACATGGGTGAGCAGATCTCTCGGGAGAGCTCTGCACATCTGCGTGTGACTGTCAGGGTTGGGGTCGAGGCCGGAGGCAAGACCCCAAGGGGCCACAACCAGCCCACAGGTCTGAGTTTGCCCATGCCTGAGCTAAAGTCATAGTTGTATCTATACATCTCTGCCTAGCTGGAAACAGATGGTGCAGTAAAACTTTAATGTAAGTATAAAAGCATTGTTCAACATAAACTCAGAATTGCCTACTTCGCATTCATTTGATCATTAAAATTGGTTGTTCTGTACAGGAGTATTGAGGCTCTTTGCAACTGAAAGACAGTGAAGAGGCTAAAGCTCCTCTTACCTTTGAAGCTTGCCGAAGCCACCGCAAATATTCAGTGAATGTGTCGAAACAGATGTAATAACTCTGGCTTTGAGGTCCAGAGGAGCTAAATGCTAAACAGTGCTGGTGCTTTTTAACTTCTTCAACCTGTATTTGGGAATTTGGGAGCAGGGAAAGAGAACAGAGGGGCATGTTACTATAATTTCTAAAACAGACAACGAGCCTCTGAAGTACTGATTAACTACAACCCTGATTTTTAAAAGAGGATCAAAAAAGATAAAAGACTGCCAGAGTAACAAAACCAAATGTGCACAATTTTTAATAGAGTTTGAAACTATAGGGTTCCCAGAGTGGTTGTTTTGCATAAATCAAAGCAAGGTAAAATAATTGTATCCAATTACTCTATATACTCATGTATAAATCTAGAAATTGCAGTAAGAAAATCAATCCAGAAATCTGGGTCGACTTATCCACTGGTTCTTGTGAAAACTGTACCTTAACTCATATAATCTTCTTCTCTGATTACTCCATCCTGGGAAAACTTACAAGTAGCAACCTCTCTACTCTATCCACCATAGCACCACTTCTGACTGTTTTGAACGCCTGGACAGGAAAACCGCAGCAATGCCAGGGGAAGAAAGCACCAATAACTGGTCCAATAATGAGTTATTGTTACTTTCTTCCCTCAGTAGAATAATCCTCAACTTATCCAAAGATCATATCAGAATTCATTATTTTGTCCCCCCAAATGGGCCCTCAACTTATATAAGAAAACAGAACTATAAAAATGTACATCTAAACAAATCTGGCTATAATCCAAGCTACACTGACATGAACATACCTCAATGTAAACCAGTGATTTCCAGACTTTGGTCCTACAGGTGTTTTGGACTTCAACTCCCAGAAATCCCAGCCAGCTTACCAATTGTTAGGAATTGTGGGAGCTGAAATCCAAAATACCTGGAACACAAAGGTTGAGAATCACTGATGTTAACATTAATGGATTCTCCACGTAACACTATTAGGATACTCCTGAAAGCATATAATTACAGTTTGTAGTAGCTCACTTTCACTTTAAACCAAAGGAATATCACTTTAAATCAAAGGAATAACACTTTAAACCAAAGGAATATCACTTTAAACCAAAGGAATATCACTTTAAACCAAAGGAATATCATTTTAATGCAAAGGAATATCATTTTAAACCAAAGGAATATCACTTTTCTATCATTCCAAGGCACTATTATTTATTTATTTACTTTATTTGTATACCGCACTCTCTCAGCCCGTAGGCGACTCAGTGCGGTTTACAACCAGGTCAATATACAAAGTGCACAACAATAGTATTAGCATTTAAAAAACAGTAACTAAGCAACTAAATCACATAGCAATACATCAATATAACAATATAACAACAATATAACTAATCCATCACGTCTCATCAATAAAGTCATAATCCGATCTCCTCGTCTATTATTCCAAGTTCCAAGTTCCAATCTCAATCAATTGATTGCACTGCTTAATTAAACGCCTGTTCGAAGAGCCAGGTCTTCACTCTTCTCCTGAACGCCAGCAAGGAGGGGGCCGATCTGATGTCTGCGGGAAGGGCGTTCCACAGCCGAGGGGCCACCACTGAGAAGGCCCTGTCTCTCGTCCCCGCCAGCCGTGCTTGTGAGGCTGGCGGGATCGAGAGCAGGGCCTCCCCAGACGATCTTAATGTCCTAACTGGTTCATAGGGGGTGATGCGTTCGGACAGATAGGTCGGGCCAGAACCGTTTAGGGCTTTAAAGGCTAAAGCCAGCACTTTGAATTGTGCCCGGTAGCAAACTGGCAGCCAGTGGAGCTGGCGCAACAGAGGAGTGGTGTGCTCCCTGAGTGCCGCTCCCGTTAGCAACCTGGCTGCCGCACGCTGGACCATCTGAAGCTTCCGAGCAGTCTTCAAAGGCAACCCCACGTAACAGGAAGTGAGAGAAATCTATCCATCAGAAGGGAAACTCACTCCTGGAGGAGTTATCATGGGGAAAAGGTGTCTTCAGTGAAGTTTTATCAGCAATCCTTGTTTCAACAACAAGGCAAATTTTTCAAAATTCAATTGCCATAGGGACAGAAAGTGGGGTGAAATCTTCTGAACAGGGGCACAGAAAGCAAAACAAATACTACAGGGGTGTTAACCCTTTCATATGCTATCCAAGGCTTGCATATTTATCTATCTATATATCCATCCATCCATTTGGAGTTATGCTTACAAACTATACCTGTTCCATCTTACATACAAATTCACCTTAAGAACACACCTACAGAACCTCTCTTGTTCGTAACTTGAGGACAGCCTGTATATGGCACAAGCCTTTTTTTATTCTGTAGGAACATCAGGCACTTTTTCATAATTACAGAGAAATTACATTTTGACTTACCTTTCCACCAATTAAGGGGAGCACATGCATCTTGCCAGTCTGGCTTTCTTTCACCGATGATACAATTAGGCACGTTCCACAAAGGATAACTTGGCGTCTTGTCCATCTGTTGACCGGCAAATGCATTTTCCCTTTTCTAACATTGTACATTCCTGAGAGCTGAATCCGTTCAGAGTTGCCAATGCTGTGGGGCTTTCCTGAAATAGAAACAGCAAGCAGCTTTATCAGTAAGGATGCTTTACTCTTTTTTCAAACTACTCTTGTATTTTGGAGCGCAGATTCAAAAGGCTACCAAGGCTTTGAATATACAAGGAAATTGCCAGGCTGCAATTTGCTTTCAACAAAATCTATCTCTAGAAATTATTCTTTAAAACCCCAATAATAATAATAATAATAATAATAATAATAATAATATCTGTGCATAAAAAATAAGCCAGAGGAACAGCAAGACCAGAGACAATTTCTTTCTGACTCCTTGGGATTTTGCAAAGACTAGGGTTATACCTGAAGCACAGGGGTAATCTCAAACTTCGCAAGGCAGACCAGGGTTCTCTGGGCTGTGATTCTCTCTACTAGAACCCAGTATTCATTGGTATAGCTTCTAGCCATCCAACTTTACAGACACAATAAAATCTGTGGTGTTATTGTGTGCCTTCACACAACTGGGCTAGGCTAAAGGAGCTGATTAATCACTAGCAGCAATAAATCACTGCCAACCAGAAGGTGGCAAGTTCAAAGCCCGAGTTGGGGTTGAGCTCCTGACTGTTAATAGCCCAGCTTACTGTTCACCTAAGCAGTTTGAAAACAGCTGTGCTATGAGTAGAGTAATTAGGGACCGCTTAAAGCTGAGTGGTTAATTTGTGACACCATAAAAATGCTGGAAATCAAAGGGCAAGGAGGAAATACTATGATCAAAAAGGCTCGGTGTCATAGTGGATGAAGCGACAGCTCCCCCTGTGGCAGAAATCGAGCAACCTCCAGGATCCGAAGTTGGAAAAACTGTTGAATGACCTCTATCTGTCTGTATGTCTTCTATGTCTAAAAAACAGCATTGAATGTTTGCAGTGTATGTGTACATATGTGTCCTTGACTCCCCTTTGGAAGGAGAAGGGCGGAATATAAGTACTGTAAATAAATATTAAATAAATAAACTGGCTTCAGTGGGGAAAAGGCCTAGATCATTGTGGATTTGTTGTTTACAGTACTCCAAGCAGGAACCTGGAGTCCTCCAGGTGGTGATGAACTATAGTACCATCCTCAACATTAGTAAGAGCTAGGCTGGCCAGAGCGGACGAAAACTAGAGGGAAATGCCAACACCTGGACAGCCACAGTTCCTCTGTCCTAACTTATGTTCCTGTGCGGATACTCCTTAGAAAAGAAGTGAAAGTCACTGAAATTAACAACAAAACATCAGCTACTTTAACATCACAGGGAAGCATACAGCATCAGAAGAAACTGAATCTGATAGTATGGAACTCACTTAAATTACAGCAAAAACATTTTTCACATACTACATAGTTCAGACCTGGAGCTTATAAACATTGCTCTCTTAGATGAACATTCCCCGAATTCCCCAGCAGCTGAAGGGTTTTAGGAGTTATAGCCCAAATCAGAAATATATCTAAGTTCTACCCAAAAGAAAAAAGCAAAGAAAAAAATGGCAAATCCTTAGTCCATTAGTAAAAAATGAATCTTTGAAATCACTTCTAAACAACATCCTCAAGCGAAAGGACAAGAAGCAGCAGCAACAAGAGAATCCTATACATTATACCTAATTATAACAACAGGGAAAATCAAGTAAGGACACTGTTGACAAATGAAACAAAGCAAGTAATTGCACATTTTGCTCAGTAAGTAATTTTCACCCTTAAGTGCCTTAATGCTAACGTGAGATGACACCCTCAATTTAGGATCTACCAGGTTGGTCCACCCTGAGATTCAGGATCTTCCAAAAAGCACAAAGACAAGAAGACAAGCATTTTATGGCCCCAGTGTTTGAAAATGTTTTAAAATAGTATTTTATTATTGTTTTTACGTGGTTTTAAAACATTTTTAAAGAGCATTTTAGTACTTTTTGAAAATTGTTTTATCTTTGCACGATACTAGTACAACCTCCTACTTTTGGGAGTATGTTTCAACATCCCTTGTGGATAACTTAAACCATACATTAAAAGCAAATGCAACCTTTTGAATACAGTGAACTATTGGTGGGATTTGGTTCCAGGACCAATCTATGGATGCCTAAGTCCCATTATATGCAATGGCACAGTATAATAGCTTCCTTTACATAAAATGGTAAAAGTTTGCTTAATTTTTGGATCTTTCTTTTTTTAATCCATGGTTACAGTCGGTCAGCTGAATACTTGAGTCAGAGGCATACCACAGAATCGAACTGGTGGATCTAGAGAGATCCACAAACACTTGTGGGGAAGAGTATAATATTTTTCGAAGCCTAAGCAAATGAGCCCGGTGGCACAGTGAGTTAAACAGCTGAGATGATGAACTTGCTGACCAAAAGGCTGGCGGTTTGAATCTGGTGAGCAGGGTGAGCTCCTGCTGTTAGGCCCAGCTTCTGCCAACCTAGCCATTCAAAAATATGGCAATACGAGTACATAAATAGGTACTGCTTCGGTGGGAAGGTAACCGCTCCATGCAGTCATGATGTCCACATGACCTAGGAGGTGTCTACGGGCAACGCTGGTTCTTTGGCTTAGAAATGGAGATGAGCACTTGTTTCAACACAACTACAGTCCCCAGACTCCAACACAACTAGACTTAATGCCAAGGGGAAACCTTTACCTTCACCTTAAGTAAGTGAAACCATGGATATCGTGTCTACAGATTAAGGAGGTCTAATTTCATTTTAACTGTTTTTATCTGTTCGTTGCCTCAGGCGCCCTTGTGAGCTGGGAGGCAATATAGACTTCCTCAAATAAATAAAAGTAAGACGTAGTGTTCACTCTAGTAAGTGATCAATAACCTATTGAAAAACGTATTACAGCAGGCCCCCTCACAAGTCACAGGCGTTATATTGACAAAGGGAAATAACAATTACTGGTTCCCTCAAACACTGAAGATGAAGAACACAAGCATCTTACCTGGTAACAAAACAGAGTTCACTTTTGAGTCAGACATACTTGATACTTTTGAGTGTCTCTCCAAAACCAGAGCCCTTATTGACAAAAGGGGGAAATGGGGGACAACTACAATGCCTTTTTGCTTGCAGACAAAGCAAGGACTACCATCAGAAGTTTAATCTCTAGTGATATGTTGCTGACACAGAAGTACTTCACAATGCCAAAACTAAAAAGACAGAACAATATCTCATCAAACAAGAAGCTACGGCAGGTAGATTTAAATAATGATAGGAGAGAAGACAGTTGCCAGTTACTCAGTTTTTGTTATACTATCATAATGTTACAAAGCATACCCTCATTTGGATTTCCTGCCAAATGATCATAAACTAACATTAGGAAAGAAAACATTTACTAGTGTACCCCAATCCTCTGATCTCAACAAACAGAGTTTAGGTTTAAATTATCAGGTAACTTTGAAGCTTAAACTGTAATGTTGTACATAAAGTAAAGGTCATACACACATACAGAAGGTGAAGAGCTCCAAAATCTGCTGAGGAACCAATGGGACACTCTAGTCCAGGGGTCCTCAAACTTTTTAAACAGAGAGCCAGGTCTCAGTCCCTCAAACTGTTGGAGGGCCGGATTATAATTTGAAAAAAAACATGAATGAATTCCTATGCACTCTGCACATATCTTATTTGTAGTGCAAAACAATAATTAAAATTAAGAACAATTTTAACAAATATAAACTTATTAGTATTTCAGTGGGAAGTGTGGGCCTTCTTTTGGCTGATGAGATAGGAATGTTGTTTTTGTGTCTGGATGCCCGACCACCATCTCCCAAAGCAGTTGCTCTATTCCAAATTCAAGAAAGGAAATTGGAAAGTTGGTGGGCAGGAAAAGAGATTTAAGGATGGGCTCAAAGCCAACCTTAAAAACTCTGGCATAGACACAGAGAACTGGGAAGCTCTGGCCCTTGAGCGCTCTAGCTGGAGGTCAGCTGTGACCAGCAGTGCTGTAGAATTCGAAGAGGCATGAATAGAGGGTGAAAGAGAGAAACATGCCAAGTGGAAGGCATGTCAAGCCAACCCCAATCGGGACCGCCTTCCACCTGGAAACGGATGCCCTCAATGCGGGAGAATATGCTGATCCAGAATAGGGCTCCACAGTCACCTACAGACTCACCATCAGTACACCGATCTTGGAGGACCATCATCCTCGGACAACGAGGGGCCACCTAAGTAAGTGTTCTTGTGTGCTTTCAAGTCATTTCAGACTTAGGTTGACCCTGAGCAAGGGCCGGGTAAATGACCTTGGAGGGCCGTATCCGGCCCCCGGGCCTTAGTTTGAGGACCCCTGATCTAGTCCCTTCCCAATTATAGTACCCTTTTGGATTATAGTTACTAGCAGGCTCCTTTCCATATGGTACTTCTGTTTAGAAGCAAACCAGAACTCAAGCTATGATACAATGTTTCACCTAGGGTTATTTTGTTTTCACCTACAGTATAGAGGCCCCACCACTGAACTATTCCAACAACCACACTGCAATCCAAGTCATAAACCAAACATTTTACACAAATACATACAAAAAATAAATAAATACATTCACCCTTGAAATCAAGATTTTCAGATTCTGTCATCCATTCTGGTTTGAATATTGAATATATCCTTTATTGTGTGTGAGTGTGTTAAAAAACATGCTCCTGTCCTAACCAAAGCAGCTTAGTCATTTTCTTCTACATGTGTGCATGGAATTTACCCAGATTTAGACAAGAGAATTAGGAGCCCCCGGTGGCACAATGGGTTAAACTACTGAGCTGCTGAACTTACTGACCAGAAGGTCGGCAGTTCAAATCCGGGGAGCTGGGTGAGCTCCCACTGTTAGGTCCAGCTTCTGCCAACAGCAGTTTGAAAATATGCAAATGTGAGTAGATCAATAGGTACCACTTTGGCAAGAAGGTAACAGTGCTCCATGCAGTCATGCCGGCCACATGGCCTTGAAGGCGTCTACGGACAACACCAGCTCTTCGGCTTAGAAATGGAGATGATCACCACCCCCCAGAGTTGGGCTCGACTGGACTTAATATCAAGGGGAAATATTTACCATGACCTTTTACCA